GAGTCACCTGGGCATCCTGCTAAAATGCAGATGGCTAATCAGCAGGGTTGGGATGGACCCGGATCTCTGTGTTTCTTACCCGTGGTGCCGGGGCCGCTGCTTCGTGGGCCACACTGAGGGACACAAGGTCCTCGAAGGGATAACGAGGCAGCCCAGCGTGTGCCCTGATGTGTAGGTTCAATAAATACAGATCCGTTTGGGGCTGTGGAATGTGCATCTCAGAAATTAGCAGCTTCGCCAGAGGTGACTTGACTTTCTAAAACAGCAACTAACTCCCATTAAAATTCCAAGTCACTCATAGTTTCTCTTTGTTTTCAAGATAGATTTATTTCTGGAAAACCGATGTGTAGGAAACTGCATAAAAGACTGTGTGTTTATATGTAAAATGGAGTGAGGTTCTAGGCTCAGAGTAACTACAAACACGTTTTCCACCTGCGTCGGCAGCTCTGAACCAGTGATGATTTTGCTGCCTCCCCCAGGGGACACTTGGCAATGTCCAGAGAGCGTCTGGATTGTCACATTTGAGGGTAAGGGGGATGCTACTGGTGGGTTGAGGCCGGAGATGCTGCTAAAAATCCTACAGTGCACAGGACGGTCTCCCACAACAAGGAATTTATGGCCCAAAGTACCCATAGAGCCAAGGTTGGAAACCCCCGACCTACAGAGAGATGTTCAAAAATGGTGCAGGATGAGGGACAATACCACCGTGTAAGAAGCTGTCCCCACACACTGCATGGTGCCTAACATCTCCAGCTGCTAATCATCAGATGCTAGGGTGCGTAGCAGTCACAAAACACACCCTGGGGACAGTTGTGCTGTTCTGAGAAGAGCAGTGGAGAGCGGGGAACGTAGACAACAGGCAGGACGAGCGAGGGCTAGCGGGGCAGAAGGATTCGCCGGAGGGACTGAACATCGTAGCAGGGCCAAATGGAAGTGTATATAATCCTGTGCATCTGATAGTGGCTCTGTAATTAATACAAAATAATTGCATCTTTTCGCCTGGCTTTCCCTCACAGACTCTCCTTAATGAACACTGCCAATGACTTTGTAGATGTGCAATTAAAATTTTTATTTATTTCTGTTTGATTTTTTATAGTAGTAGCTCAACATATTAGGGGGGAAAATTTAAAAAAAAGAAAAACCCACGCAGCAGCAAAGCTTGACCTCATCCCATTTGAGAGGCAACCAAGAGTCTTTGCTTTCTTTTTTCCTTCATTCATTCTACACAATTCATTCTGACAAGTGAGAAATAATAACACCAGTTCTCATTCCTCATCCTTGCATTTTCTAGTTTTAATTTTCTGCCAGGCTTTCATCTTTAGATCTACAGAAAAAGGTTTTCCTTTTTCTTTTAAAATAAGGAATCGTAAGAAAGGGTATACTATGCCTAAGTGGTCCTAGATTCAGGTTTCCTGTTTACCATTATCTTCCAGTATAGGAACTCTGGCCTTCCAGAAGGATCTACCACTTCCATCAACCGTGATGGGATATGAGGAGCTCTCTCAGGTGGAAATAGTGTCATAGCCAGGTTTTAATAGAAGACACTTGTATCTGGAATTTAACTGAGTAACGGTACAGATACTCTTGGGGAAATGACTCTAAATTATTAATAATGCCAGTATTTAACACGTTACTATACCAAACCATCACAGGCAATATAAAAAGCAGTAACAAGAGACCAGACAAACGGGACCTGAATCCCCTATCTCCCACTTACCAGCCAGGTGACTGCAGAACAATCGGCTCCCCTTCTGTAAATCTCCACTTCCTAGGCTCAGGGGTCGGCAAAGTTTTGAGACGGAAGAGCCGCCAGGGGTCAGCAAACTGCGGCTCACAAGCCACAGGCTCTGAAGTAAAATTGAAAATGAAAATAAAAAATATTATAGTTTCATTTACAGCAATTTTAAAGGTGATTATGTGAAAATATATTTATGGCTCTTGAATAATTTTTAAATTGTTGTGAGGGACAGGATTAGCTCTTCCAGGGGTCAGCAAACTTTTGAGACGGAACGTCCCCAAAGAGCTGCATGTGGCTCGTGAGCCGCAGTTTGCTGACCCCTGCCTAGGCTAGAAAGTGCAGACGCTATGACCGCCTGCATTGCGGCATTTTGATGTTGACAGGAGATGAGGCATGGACTTAGCAAGGATAGCATAAAGTAAACTCAGAAAATGTCGTTATCACTACAGCAGGATCCTTTTATGCTGAGGTTCAAAAAAACCCAAGTAAGCTGAGTCAAGAATCCTGGACTGAAAAAAAAAAAATCATGGACTGAGATCATAGGAGCTGATCATCTTCCTTTGTTTTTGCATGAGAGTCTGTCATGGCCATGTTTTCCAGAAGATGATACTCAAGTATATTTGTGAGTGTTTTGTAGGGAAGCAAGGAGTTATCAAATAACCCTAGGAAGCAGTAAGTCAAATAAAGAAATACTGTGTTTTGTTTGGTTAGGTTGGGTTCGTTGCAGGACTTCTCAGAGTCTTTAATATGCTAACATGTATTGTGAATTTCCAAGAAGGGGACTATAATTATAATAAAATTATTATTTTCTTTCTCCTTGCTCCCCTTCCCAGAATAAACTTTGCCCTAAGAGAAACCCAGACAGAGACGTTTGGGTGTTGACCAAATCTGGAATGGGTTCAAGGGTAAACAATGAAACAAGGTTCTATATAAATGGTATCACATTAATATGGTCGGGAGGAGAAAAATGATGGCCTCAAAGAGAACTTGTCTGAAAACACACCCTTCACCCAGGACTTCATCCTGCTTTACCATGTAAGGCACTTTCACTCATTAGGGATGATACGCTTCGGCATTCTTTCTCTTCCTCTCTATCCTTTCCTTCCCTCCCCCTACCTTCTGATGCTGTTGCAATTTCTGGCCGCCACTTTCCTTCTATTTCTTCAACCTATCTCTCTTCCTCCAACCACATGGCCATCCTCCTTCAAGTTTCTAGACCTGGCAGTGGCTTCCAACTGAGTCAGAGGAAAGACTACTAGCTTTTGTCTCTGAAATGCAAGCCTCACATAGATGGGAAATGCTGTCTCCCGCTGATGGTGACCATCAGCACTCTAGATAGGGCGGCCTGAGGGGAGCATGGGAGCTTTCCAAAGGGAAGTCCTAAATTTAAAGCCATCCTCTGCTTTTTATTAGCTGTGTGATGTTGGACAAGTCACTGACTTCTCTGCAACTTTTTCCTCTTCTTTTTAAAATGAGATTGTTTCAAGGGCAACTTGTAACATGTGTAAAGTACCTGGAATTTGGTAGGTATATAGTAACTGGTTGCTAGTGTTATATTCATACTATTTCTTACTAAGGAATCATTTGTATTGCCTCATGATTTATTTTGCACTTAATTTCCCTACACACATCAAATGTCACACAATCTTCAATTTGCTTTATTATTCTACTAGAAACTTGGAAGTTTTCCTTTTTCAAAAGACTAATTATATGTTAGGTTCAAGGTGTGTTTTTTCTCACTAAAATGAGTACTACCATTAAATAATAAGATATAAATCAGGAATGGCACCCAGATTGGGCTGATAGAAATTACATGCATTTCTACAATAATCCAAATGGCACACATCTGAAAAAAAATATTCACCTCACTAACCTCCCATAGCAAAGCATACTTTAAGTAGAACTTCCTCCACTTCAAAAATGGTCCTGTCTTTTTCTAATATGTTTTTTGTCAATTACCATTGACATGCAATATTATTGGGTTGTCGGAAAAGTCATGACGCATTTTTGCAACGAAAAACAGAAAAAATACATCATGACTTTTCCAACAACCCAATATATTAACTTCACAGTGTGTACAGCACAGTGATTAGAGTGTTGTTTCATTTATGAAGTAATCACCCTAATAAGTCTAGAACCCATCTGCAAAATGGTCCTCTCTTCTGACTCAAGAATCACGCACTTGGGAATTGAAGCTTATGAGAATATTAACACACCGAAAGGCTTTAAACACAAAGATGTTTATCACAGTGTTATGTATCACTGAATAAAACTGGAAGCAACTTAAATGTCCAAAATCAGAGAATGGTTTAATAAACTCTGATAATGTAGGTGATAAAACACATGGAGCTATCTATAATGACACTTGCAAGTGAAAAAATACAGACAGAAATATTATGGCACTTACAACTATATAAACCTAACCAAAAAAACACTAGAAGGGAATATAGCAGAATGTGATTGGAAGCTCTCTCTGGATGGTGGGGCCATTGGTTAAATTTTTTTATTTTTCAAAATGCTTTATAATAGAAAATACATGCATTATATACTTTTTATTTTACATTGTGGTTAAATGCACATAATATAAAATTTTCCATTTTAATCACTTTTAAGTGTATATTGTTGTGCAACCATCACCACCATCCATCGCCAGAACGTCTTCATTTTGCAAAACTTAAACTCTGTCCCCATTAAACAAGTCTCCATCCCCCATTCCCCACAGCTCCTGGCAGCCAGCATTCTGCTCTGTGTTTCTACGAGTTTGACTACTTTACGGACCTCATATAATTAAAAGCATAGCGTCTTTGTCATGTCATGACTGCCTCATTTTCACTTCGCATAATGTTCTCAAGGTTCATCCATGTTGTGGAATGTCAGCGTTTCCTACCTTTTTAAGGCTGAGTAATATTTCATTGTATGAAAACACCACATTTTGTTTATCCATTCATCCATGGATGAACATTTGGGTTCCTTCCACTTTTTGACTATTGTAAATAATGCTGCTATGAACATGGGTGTATAAATATCTCTTCCATACATTATACTTTAAAGGGATTTTCACCCCTAAATTGGCTCTTCCTTGTTATGTCCCATTAACTGATTATATCACACCCTAGACTAGACTTAACAATGATTCTATGCAGAACGTTGATAACAATGAAATAGTACAGGTGGGCAATTTGACAACCTGGGGGAAATAACCACCTGTGCTATTCCTCAGAAAATAATGCATCTTTTTTTGTTGTTCTGATTCCCATTACAGGACAAATGCCTTAGTTTCAACTTTCCAGCCTGGATGCCCCCTCACACTGAGTTTTTCTTCGTTGCACCACCCCGCTTCTGACATTGAACTCCTCCTGACACCCCGCTCTGAGAAGACTGCCAAAAAAAAAAAAAAAAGGAATCACCCCGGCCATCTCTCTTCATCCTCACTAACAATTTGGTAATGAAGTATTGATTTCCACTTCTCTGCTTATGGACGATAGATTTTCATTGATAAACTGCAATGGGGCTGTCTCGTCTCCACGGTCCCCTTTTCACTGTCACTAGAAAACAAAGTGCCACTGAAGAGAAATAATGACTGAGAACATTGATGTACTTATTTTGTCAGTTTGTAACACTTGACAGGAAAGAGTGGGGGGAGTATAAGTCTCCACAGTTTAATGTCCAAGTGGGCTGCACTAGATGTAGACTCTTGGAAGCTTACTTTTCATGGTAATGTCCATTTCCTATTTATAACCCCTCTGGGAACGTTTGTCTAAAGGAAATGTTTCTGTTCAGTGCAACAATTACAGTTGCACCTGGATTGCCCAGTCCTGCCCCTGCACTAGGGAGCCATTCATCACCGCAAAGTGGAAGAATTATTAAGTTAAACCAGAGTTTGAGCCAAGAAAACCTCTGAACAATGTTCATCTTCTGTGAAAGTTTTTCACATAGTTAGGCTTAACCATGTTGCTGCCAAAGACTTTTTCCCATGCAGTGGTGGGCATCTTTATTATCATCGTGAGCTTAATTGGTTTAAAAAAAATAGTTTTAAGCATGCACCACTGTCATATGAGACCTGCAAATTGGGAGAATCGGGGAAGTTGGTAAGACACAGAACCTGAGAGAAAGCAAGAGGATGAGCTCATTGCAGGGTGGAAAGTTCAGCAGCAGCCGTTTCTGGTAATCTCTTTCTGCAGGACCCATTGTTTATAGGTTCTAAAACACAGCTTAGCTTTAGAGGCAACAGAAAGCATGAAATAGGGTGTCCATTTTAAATGTGTTTCTGCAACTTTTTTCATTAAAACTTTGAGGGCCCAATTTTAATTTGTGGAATATTCCCGTTAATAATGAGATCTAATTAAGACATCCATTAAAAGCCCGTTAAAGTTAATTTAACGTAAAAATTCCAATAGAACTGTATTAGATTTTCTCCATTAAATTAACGTTATGGATTTTTAACGGATGTCTTAATTATACATTATTATTAACAGGAATACTGTATTACACAGATTAAAATCAGGTCCTAAGTCAACTTGGAAAAGCTAAGAGCATGTTTTAATATTAAAAGTCTTGCATACCTAGTGCACACTTTGGAAATGCAGGAATAGATCTGTTTACTCTAGTTGAGCATTTTCTATACAACTGAAAGCAAACCTATAATAGATAAATCCATCATTGCATTTAAATAATGAATTTCCTTATTCTCAAAGGACAAATAAGTCTGGATTGTGTTGTAAACTGCTACTCAGCTATAGGTGAAATAGTTAAACTATTCTAGGCACAACACTAGGAACTAGATGACTTTGAAACAAAAGAAATATTTTTTGTTGTTGTTGCTTTAATTACCAAGGTTATCACACACAGAAAAAAATCTCAATACCAACAAAGTGAAGCCAAATATATCCTCTTCACGGTTTCTCATGGAGGCTGTCTGTTGAAATTGTTTTTGGAAATTTTGACATGATCCCTAAATTCAACATGGGGACTTAAAAAAAAAAAAACTTCTTATTTACCTCCTAGGGAAAGTGTTGCCCTTATGCCACATATAATAGCAAATTGCTTTTTTTATGGCATGCATAACCTAGATGGGAAAAAATATGGCGCTTCAGGGAAGGAGGGAAAAAGTAAATGAAGTTCCAGGAATGTCATTCTGAAGTAATGAGGCATGGACAGAAAATATACCCCTCACATCATCGGATTGAGATGGCAGTCGAAATAGCTTCATTGAAGTGTCAGCACTCATCCATCAATCAATCACCCACAAGGAAAAATAGCAACAGTACAACGGGGCGGCTTTTATGGGATTTACTCATGGGCATAGGGAATAGCAGCTCAAATGTAGTTCTGACATGAAAAGCAAGGTGCTGATATTATTTTTTATGATGGGAGGATCATAAAGTGAATTGAGAACAGCGAGGTCTGTCTTTGCTTAACCTATTCAACCAGAAATGAATGGAGCTCAACTGGAAAGGAACAGTCTTCGGATGGGTTAAGATTGAAGGGTGGACTCTACTGAGCACTGTCCTTCGACAACGAAATTCTATTAGAGGAAAATCAATGCATTAGCATTGGGGTTCTTGAAGCTGTTAAAAATTGCCTGCTCCAACCCAGGGTTATTAGATAAAGTTTCACAATTCAGACTCTGCCACAACCGCCCAAAAGCAGGTTCTTGAGCTATTGTTTGAACTCGGGGGGTGGGGAACAATACAGTTCTCAACTCCTTGGAAATAGTTTCCCTTCTAAAAAAGAAAAAAAAATAAATCATCTGCTTCAACTTATAATCTATATGGTTTTGTTAGTGCACTTTCTGTGGAGGGCTGGGGTGGGAGGCGAGAGACAAAAACATTGATAAAGTTGGTGAGACTCATGAATTGTCGCTTGGTAACCATAAATGTCACCACTGAGGGACAGCTGCTAATGTTCTTAGGAAACAAAATCTGGGCTCCCGCTGTGACATACACACAATTCAGATTATATTCCTAGAGACCAAGCCTGTCTTCATTTGGCAAGTCCTGTGAGGCTTCTAGAAACTTCTTTCTAGGGGAAAAAACAAATATGAACTCAGGAGGATGTTTTTACCTGCTTTCATACCATCCTTCTCCTCTCTGTTAATAAATGTAGTCTGGTAAATTGAAACTTTAGAAATGGGAAGGAAAGGGACATGCAAATTGCACTTGAATACCTCTATTCGGCCACCAACCCTTGACATCAGTGAGGGCGAGAGATCGCCCTTCCGTCCCCATCCCTCCTTCTAGCTAAGGCCATCAACCAGCTGCAAATTGAAATGTCCACTGAAAAAAAAACTGTATATAAATATTTAAGTTTTTTGTATTTGGTCCCATTTTGCAGTTCAACAAACTCATCAAATAAACAACATGGTACAAAGCACTGGGGGCACAAGGCAGAACAGGAAACACAATTTATTCAGCAAATTCACCCAACAAGTATTAGTGTGCACCTACTGTGTGCAAAGCACTCTTCTAGGTGCCATGAGATACAACCATGAAGAATTCACACAACACTTTGGTCCTCCTGTTGTTATCAAGATGACTGATACCAGACACCTGAGGGAAGGGCTCACCTAGGGTCCAACTCCCCTCATGTCATTTGCGTTTTATTTCTGTTTTTCAAAATAATATTTCAGCACAGGGAGTCCTCCTTCTGAAAAGCATACAAGGAGGAAATAGCTTAAAAATAGGTCAAGGCCCAAAAGCAGAATATAATCATAGAATAAATTGGATAGCCCAGACAGTCCCCACAGAATTTCTTTAAGGTCACAAATAGATTTCTTAAAACTCACCCCCCAAAATGTGCCTGCTTGGTTGTTTGAGTCTTGTATAATTAATGTCGCAGGCACAAGCCACTGAACTTAGTTGAAATGCAGAAAACAAACAAATGAAATGACATATCTGGAAAGCATTTATGTAACTCTGGTTAAGCTGTGAGGTGTGTGTGGGCAAGTGTGTGTGCATGTGTGTGTATTCATATATATATATATATATATATATATATATATATATATGAATTTCACTGTTATTTTCCAGGGTCTGTGGACAGTGCCACGGTAACAGTCTATGATTTTCTGAAACTTTTCACAGTAAACCCAAAGACTACCAGGCCTTCAGACATGCTTGCATTCTGTTGCTTTTCCATCTGTCATTTCCCAGGTTATTTGTGTTCAGACCTTTTTCACTGAGTTTCATTTTTTAAGCTTGTTAAATGTTTTTGTTTAAAACAAAAAAACACATTAAAATGTCATTTTCACATTATCTTCTATTCTCTGAAACAAGAATAGAAGTGTGTTAATGAATGCTGAAATAATAGTAATAGTAAGGAAATATATGGAAGGCTTTAAACACACACACATATACATTGTACTTCTAAAGAGCAATAAAAGTAGCATCTATTTTGAACATGCATTAGGCAAAAAAAAAATCACAACTGAACTTTCAGTTTGTTTTGTTTTTTTTCCCCTGTGAGATGTTAAAATGCTAATTTCATTTTCTCCTTTCCTATATGTGGTACTTTCTCAAAATATCCATGAAATACTTTTAGGCAAAGAATGAGCAGGAGACAAACATACAAATTTCCATCCCCCCAGCCAGGGAGACATGTTTTTATTGTACAGAAGCATGAGACATTTTGAAACTTGTGAATCATCTTTAGAATTTCTACAGGGGGATTTTACCTCTTCATCCAAAGTCAAAGCCACTTATCTCCTTTGGTTTTCTGTGACAGCTTCAGAGGCATATGCAGATATACAATTTCCAGGCTCTAGTTAATCTTCTTCCAATAGTTACGAACAATGGGCTAACGGGCGTGGGTGTTTCTCCAAAAATTATTCATGCGCAAGGCAGCCCAAAGCTTCAGGGAAAACTAGAAATGTTTTATGGATTAGAAAAGGACTGTTTTAAAATGCTAGTACCAGGTGGAACGCTATTTCTGCAACAGGATTCTGTCCATTTCCTTTGGAAAAATACATTGCAAGTAAAAGGGCTCTTCCAAGTGACGGTACCCTGATCTGACACCTTTCAGCACACAAATGATTTTACCGATAGCCATATGATTATCATTAAGGCCTTTTAAAAAAAAAACGATCTGTTTGAGAAAGACATTAAATACTCATAGCCCTTTGTACTATGTTTATCTGCTTAAAACCACTTTTGGAACTACAAATAATAACTCTTTTGTGAGAACCCCCAAGAGAAGTTGCAAAATTTGAACAAATGCATTACTTAAAAAAAAAATCTGCTCCCTTCAACTGCTCCAGAAAATGGATTTCAATGTGTTTGAATTATCTTGAACCTGAAACCTGCATCTGTATATCTGTCCCCAGGCAAAGGCTTATATTTACAAAACTTGAACAATCATACAATTATATCTCAAACGTGAAGACTTGGTACAGTGATATTTTCACTTTCTAAATGACCTATATAACATCCAGGAATTGTAAATGTGTATGTATATTTTTAAAACACACAAAATTCAACCAGCCTGCAGAGAAGACATACAAACTCTTCCTGCCCTGCGTTGAGATAAATAGCACGGAAACATTCCAGTTTTACAATATAATATTTTGGCTTATAACACATCAGATGCTAGAATATGCCACCATACAAGTCAAAAAAAAAAGCTTACATATAAAACAATTCTCATTTGGCTCAGGGCTCTTAAATGTCATAATATCTCGGGATACAATATTACATTTTGGTCTCTGGTATACTGGTATCTTTCTAATCTTTTCCGACTTTGATTCCTAACGGCCCAGCACTGTCAGCGTGAATCATAAACTTCCACATCCCTTTACAATCAAGAAGGGTAGCTGACCGTACACAGTCTTTCTAATGGTCCATCAGCTCCTGCTCTGCAGAGAACTTGTAGCTTTTTAGAAAAATTGGCATGAACCACATTTATGTTACATATTTGCCCCCTTCTGTTAATTCCAGGTTTTTTGTTGCTGTTTTCTTTTTAAAAAGGCAGTGGGGGGAGTAGGGCGGAGTGAGTTGGGAGGATTACATTCATCCTTGCTCTGAAGGAAAGGGTTTATTTGCCAGCAAGGAAAGGCAAACACATTTTTATATTAGGAAAGCAAACGAGTCGTTTTCAACGGAAAGTGACGGCAACCATACCTGTAGAATGTTTCTGAGCAAGCATACTAATTTTCTACCGCCTGCATGCTGTATATAGTACATCTGCCTGTATACTCGGAGGAAAAAAACGGGCTGCTTTCCTTGTGTACAATGCAGCTTGGATGGATGGCTGGGAACGTAAGCCTCCCGTACATTTTTATACTGTACATGTTTGTATATACTAACTATATCGCCATGTATGAACACAGATTTTGTTATATTTGCTTGTTTCTGTTTCCTACCAAACTGGCCCACAATGGAGATTCTTTTGTATAGAAAAAAAAAAAAGATATGCTTGTAATTTTTTCCTGATCATTCTCTTTCAAATAGCTTATGAAAGAAATTAGACCTGAGTTTACAAAGAAACTTCTAAGACCCAAGTTTGTCTGCCTGCATGAGTCCCGTCCAATTGCTGGATCTAGGGAAGAACCAACGACCTAATTCAGAGTTTTCCTTTGAAGGCATGCTTTATTTACTCCTTGGGAAAACCTCACACACATCCATGTAGAATGATCCTTTTTGTATTTTATCTAATAGTGCCTGAAATTTTATTTTTAATGTCTTCTTAGAGGAAGAATTCATAATTGTCAAAATCTGAAACATTAGCTTAATTTTGTTTTTATGACCTCGCAATTCTTCTCCTTATTTATTCGGTTGCTGTTGTAATGGGGCCCCCGGCCATTTCTGACATCGGCGTGCTCTTCTTCTGCATTAAGGATGTTTTGAAAATTATAGAGATTATTGAGCCAACAGGCTGTTTTAATCAAAACCATGTTTCACTTGTTTTTGATGATTATAAATTGTCCTTGCAATGAAAAAAAAAAAAAGAAAGAAAGTTTTCTGCTAGGAAAATTATACCACCCTGTGGCCAAACAGATTCATCACAGATAGGCATCTGTACCCACTTTTCTGGGATCTGGAAAATTCTTCCTTTGGCTGGCCACACTGACTTTTACTCCCCATCATCCTGAATGCTTGTGCCCAAATGCAGTCACTATTTGCAAATTTCCAAAGGTTTGGCCGAGTTGTCACTGCGCAAAAACAAACAACCCAGCTGGAAATGACGGCTTTCCAGCTTGAAAAAAACACAGGGATTTTCAGAAAAGGTGCTCCTGCTTTTGTCCCTTGGTGCCACCATCCTGTCATCCCTCCTAATTATAAACAAGCTGGTCTTGATGTCCCATATCACTTAAATCAGGTTGAAAGAAACATTTGGATGAGCTCTTTGCGGAGTAAAAATGACTGGGTTTTGGGTGCATTCAAGATCTATGCCTGTGTGTGATGCTGCAGCATTGAAATTACCTTTAAAAGGGAAGATTTTTTTTTAAAGTAAAATTTTACCACTAGAAATAAATTCTGATGGTAGAGATGAAGAAAACCCTTAAATTATATCACCGAAGCCATTATTTTTTACATCTAGAGAGTTCTGTTTTGTTTTTTAAGGAAAATCATTCTACTTTGAGAACTGTAATTAAAGCCCTAAATAATAGATACTACTTCTTTTAGCTTTTGTGAAAAAAATACTAACAACACACTTGCTAAGGTTATATGGAGTCCCTCATTTCCATCAAAAAGGTTTCTATAAGTGTATTATTTACATTTTCCAACATGATAACTCTTTCCTTTGTGACAAAAAAAAAAGTCTCTTTCTTTTTT